CTTCAGTAAAAATTACATCCAATTTGAATTGGTAGTTTTGGAGAAAATCATAGCCGGGTTAATAACTATAAAAAATAACCATAAGAATTATACCTGATATAATTAATATATCAGGAGGCCCCAGTGTGAAGTGAGAGTGCGCAATTTTCAAAATAACGTCCACGAGCGTTATTTCGCTTATGCGGTATTAAATATAGCAAAATTTGCAACCTTTTTTATTGTGAAAGCCAAAGAAACCCCAAGAAATATTAAATTTAAAACCTAACTAATAATACACGAGTTAATAAAATAATCGATTTGTAAATTCATAAAACCACATATACATAATGAGAAATAACAAAAATTATATTAATGCTAATGAATTGAACTGGATATTGAATACAATTATATCTTATGTTTAAAAAAAAATCGAATCAGATTCGGTATTTACAATAACTAAATAAATTTGAATAATTCGAATAAATAAAAAGAAAAAAAAGGCATGAAATATTTTTCTTTGAATCATGACTTTGTAAGTTTCATGCTAATCAAAATAATATTCAAGCTTATATCAGCGAGTACGTACGTACCTGATTTTGGTGGTGAGCTTCCATCTCTATTCTGTCTTTGCTTTAATTATGTTAGGTTTAAATGTTGCTTTTTCAACTCTGTTTTCTGTAAATAAATCTGCTGCTTCAACCTCAACAACTTTTTCATCGCGTAAAAACGGACTATCATTAGGATGAACACCGATAGAGAGCCTTGAGATCGAGTTTGAGATAGAAGATTTATTGCTAGGTGGTTGTGAAGGTGTACTGCTGATCGTTGATGATGATGAACTTGAGCTATTTACATTATTATATTTTTTATTAATTTGTCTACTTAAAGGTGATATAGTTTCTGGAGAAAACGTTGAAGATTTGGCTGATAAAGGTGATATAGTTTCTGGAGAAAACGTTGAAGGTTTGACTGATAATTTGACTGGTATCGGTTTTGGTGTTTCTGGAGTGTTGGCACGTGAAATTTTGGACGGCATTTGTACATATCTTGTGGGAATATTACTATCCGGATCATCATCAATAATAGGCAAAGAAGGTTCAGGTAACATGGATTCTGAAGACGAATAGTTCATTGCTGCTATCTGTTTCTCTGATATTGCTGCAAAAGATTCAAAAACTTTCTCTGATGACGCATATTTGGGATATGATACCTAAACAACAGTATTAGATAGTAAAAATGTTAAAGTGCATAACAACAACTAAAATTTTTAAACCACATGAAGTTACCTGATCTTCTAGAAAGTCATCTAGGCTTTGAGGTGGTGGCATACCCTCACCTGCAAATGGTGCCCACTCTTTCATTTTCGTAATACCTGGTCCGCATTTTTTTAACGAATCATTGAATGAAGCAAAACAACCTTCCGTAATACGACAAACTATTTGTGATACAACTGAATGAGTCTTTCTTTCACGCTTTATTACTTCATTTGTGTATTCTGTTTTCGCACGATTAATTTCAGTACCAACTGCACTCATCGACATCATATATTTCTATGAGAAATATTTTATAATTAATACGACAAACTATATTAAAAAACGCACATATATATACTCATTCAATCTTTACATCGTATAGCTCTAAACCTGATTGATTATCTCTCTTTGATTTCTTTTCGTAATCCTTGCCAATTTTTCTCATTTGCCTATCTAGGTCACCAACATAGTCATTATGAGCTTTTTCATCTTTCTGTACAATTATTAATAAATGTTTAGTTTCAATTTTTATAAAAAAGGTAAATAATAATCATAATAATAATACAAAATGTTTAACTTACGGTTGTTTTTTTTGAGTACTTATCCCAAAGTTTTTGAAGTAGATCAAAATCTTTTTGTACAGCTTTATTCTATTTAGTCTTTAGTTAGCTAATTCATGGTTAATAAAAAAAAAAAAAAAAAGTACAGTCGTTTTGATATATACCAATTTTCCTAAAACATCTGCGTGATTTTCATAAAACTGGGATGAGGTCTGCATGCACATAGCTATATAATTCAATAATTAATAAAAGTTTTTTCGAACATTACTAAATATTTATAGAAATATTAAATACTAACCATACGTAGTTTCTAGTCCTTTTCCATTTCCATAATCCTTTAAAGCTTTACTAAAATGCTTAGAAGCCTTGCTTAATCTATCCATTAAATCTCGATAAGCATCGGCTGCCATCACCAGGCGTTCCAAATTGTTTTCCGCTTTACGCACATCATCCAATACTGGATATTTCAATTCTTGGTTATCTTGAGAGGGAATGTAACTAGTAAAAAATGAAGAGCCAACAGTGGGCGATTTTGGCGGAGAACCAAAAAAGGTAAAACGTTTCTTTTTTTGCATTAAAGCCATTATTTTTAAGAATATCGATATTGATAAAAGAATGTATCGTATGATTTAATGTTGCCACAACAGCAATTAATTATTTCTCGATAAATTCAAATATATGCGTTAACTTAAAAAAATCATAAACTCCTCAGAATTGTACGTAAGCGGTAATGCCTGTCTTTTGGTGTGGCTATAATATGAATATGGACTAAAGGACTTCTTCTATGACATAAAGACAAAAAACGATAACCACTTCTGAATGAGAAATTAAGCGGAACTAGTGAAGAATTTCTTTTTGACATTTGGAATTTATCCAAAATTTGAATTGTATGACGAAAGAGAATACAAAGGGGTCATTTTCAGGGGGGGAAGAAATTGGTTATGCATGATGAGAAGATCACTTGTATGATTTCGAAGATAGCTTAATTATGGTTACACGTGAGATTTAGAATCCCGATTTGGATATATATTTGTTAATATATACTGTATATAGATGGCAGTTTATATATATATATATATATATGTAGTCAAAGAATTTCTCCAAATTCTCTTACACATCGATCCTTTTGATTTTCAAAATGTCACTAATTCATACGAACATAGATGAATTACCTCAGGTATGAATTAATATTTTACTCAACGATTAAATAACTTTGAAAATTCAGACCGAATTAACATATTCATATTTTAGATCGTCCAAGAACTTCGAAAGTCTTTCCATTCTAACTTAACGGAACCTTTAAGCTATAGAAAAAAACAATTAAGAAATTTGTATCGTATGATTGATGAAAATGAGCAAGCATTCTATGATGCTTTGTACAAAGACCTTCATAAACAAAAACATGAGGCTTTTGCGGGTGAAATAGGTTGGGTTAAGCAAGAAGCTTTAGATACAATTTCGAACCTCAAGAGCTGGGCTGAACCAGATTATGTCAAAGTGAACGCAGGACACATGTTGAACAAGTGTCATGTGAGAAAAGAACCAGTTGGTAGGTTGTTATTTATCTATGAATGAATTTACGTAAAGAAAAATTACTAGCAGAGTATTAACATTGAAGATGGATGACAGTAATATAATATATATAATGCGATTTTAATATTATATAATTGTATGTATAGGAATCGTCCTGATAATTGGCACATGGAATTATCCCATTAATCTTCTTTTTATGCCTTTTATCGGTGCAATTGCTGCCGGATGTACTGCAATTCTCAAACCTTCCGAGCTTTCTACACACACCGCTACTCTTATTTCCGAACTTTTTCCAAAGTATCTTGATCCAAATGCTTATCGCATTGTGAGTGGTGGTGTCGCTGAAACTACTGCTTTGTTGAAGCATAGGTTTGATCATATATTTTATACCGGTTCTGGTAAAGTTGGCAAGATCATTATGTCAGCTGCAGCTGAACATTTGACTCCTGTCACTCTTGAACTTGGTGGAAAGTCTCCAGCGATTATTTCGAATGACGTAGATATTTCTATATCAGCTAAACGTATACTCTGGGGCAAAATGGTTAATTGTGGCCAGGTAATTTCATGTTTTCACTAAATTATTTATAATTTATTATAAATTAATTTCAGTTTCACTTTTAATAAGACATGCATTGCACCTGATTATATTATCTGCGAAAGAGCAGTTCAAGATGCTTTTATCAAAGAAGCGCCTAAAGTTATCGAACAATTTTATGGTCCTGACCCTCAAAGTGGCACATCTGATTATTCCCGTATAATCAATAAAAACCATTTTGATCGTTTGCAAAATTTATTAAATCAAACTAAGGGAAGAATCGTATATGGTGGTAATTTTGACAGAGATGATTTATATATTTCACCTACGATAGTAGCCGATGTTCCTAAGGATGATAAGTTAATGGAAGATGAGATTTTTGGTCCTATCTTCCCTATAGTTGTTGTTGAAAATCTTGATGAAGCGATTGAATATGTGAATTCAAAAGACATACCTTTGGCTCTTTATCCCTTTAGTAAAAATGATAAAACTGTTAAGCATAGTAAGTTTATTCAGAATTATTCTGTGTATCTATTTGCGTATTTTTACTTTAACTACATTTAACTTGCATTAGTTCTTGATAATACTCGATCTGGTGGTGTTGTTATTAATGATTGTCTTATGCATTTCACTGGTGCGTTAATGTGTGGCGAATTAAAATTACTCTCTATCTACGATTTCATTTGAGATAATATATTTTTTCTGTTGCTTATCTCATTTATTAGTAAAAGAATTGCCATTCGGTGGTCAAGGACCATCTGGGATAGGAAGTTACCATGGCAAACGATCCTTTGACACCTTTTCCCATGAGCGAGCCGTTATGACCACACCATTTGCGCTGGAGAAACTTGTTAAAACTCGTTATCCACCATATACTGAATTTAATGTTAAAATTTTATCTTGGTTGTTTTTCAGTAAACCTTCAAAAACTAGAAACGTAACTTTTAAAGGCGTCGTTGGTGCTGCTATTCTGCTTATGATCGCTTATGTCATCAAAAAAATGAAGTATTAAAATATTAACTTGATGATGTTTACCTTAACAAATATTTTAATTCTGACTCGAGAGATTGAAACTCGAGTTTTTTAGGTTAAAGGTCTCTAGAGAAAGCACTAACGAAAAAAAAAAATTCTCTAAAAATTTTGTTTTATTAAAGACTAGGTATTGAGTTAGTTAGTTGTAGGGTTATATAGAGTTGGAGCAGAGTTATAAGTCACGTTGCTATTAAATTTATATATATATATATATATTAAAAAAATAGTATGATTTTTACTATGTATGCAGATTACTAGTTTTTCTTTTTTTTAAAAAAAAAACTTTAACAAAGTTTAATTCGAATTTTATGATAATTTTTATTGAATTTTGTTCGATGGTTGTTAAGATATTTAAAAGCTTAAGAGAGTAACCATTACACATAACTTGATTGATTAATAAACATTTAAAGATTGAAATCTTTTGATTTTTTTAAAATCGTCATATTTAATCAGGATCAGTTGAACCAGGAATCAGATATTTCGAAAATTTCGTGAGTAAGGCTTGAAAGGTTTTCACGCTCCCTAGTTCTAGACAATAATGAATCCTTTTTTAAATTTTGTCAAAATCTTATATCATTAAATTTAATAAATATTTATAGTTTAACAAAATTTTTTAATATAAAAACGAAATTTATTTTAATCACGAATCGCTAAGCCGTAAAACATAAGTTCGAGTAATCGTGTTTATGATTAATATCAGATAAAATAACAATAATACCGTATAGACCCGAAATAACGCGCAGGGGTGTAATTTCAATTTTCGGCCTAAATTAAGCTTAATTCGGGCCGAGATTCGAAATAACGCCCCTGTGCGTTATTTCGGATCTATACGGTACAAGCAAAAAAAGCAACTTATAGTATTTAAAAAATATATAATAACAAACTTTATTATTTTTATTTCAAACCTTATATAAATCGAATTTCTTTAGTCAAACCGATTAATCGATGAACCGAAGTAAACCATATATACAGTAATAAAAAAAAAAAGAGAAGTCATCTATATACCCAGAATACCGATTTGTCAACAATAATAGTATGGGCGAACATAATAAGAATAAATGACCACGTGTTTCACCCAAGAGCATTAATGTCACGGTATATGTGGGTAAACCTTTTGAAATATATGATAAAAGAATCTAACCAGAATACCGATTTTTCAACACTATAGCACGAACGAACATAATAAGAATATATAAACATTCTATCTAAATACCCACTGATCACACGAGTTCAATTTGAATGAAATTGATTATGGCCGATTAGGAATATCTATTGGGGACACTGACATCAGGAAATTTTGAAAACTGATTGTAGTCGATTAAAATCCGATGATTTTAATCGATTATTATCACCACCATCGATTACACGCGATAAAGATTTTATTATTATAATAAAACTAATCGACTATAATCGATTTAATTTAATCGCTTTTGATCATAATCGACTATTATCGATTTTGATTTATTGCGGTTTGCAAAAAAATGTGAAATTTGCAGATCAAAAAAAAAGAAATCGATGATTTCTGATTGCCGATTTTTTTGACATTATAAAGAACAGTTTCATCGCCGCAAAGGACGTCAAAATAGCCGAATTGGAACGAAAGCTGTATGAAACTGAACGAATAATCAAAAGTTCGAAGGATAAATTCAATGAGTATGAATTACTTCTGATGACGTATGTATATCAACTAATATTATACCATATAAAGTCTTATATATATTTATTTAGCATATATTTATTCATTTCTAATGACTAAAATTATTATCCCGGAACATGCTTTGGATGCACAAATGCCTTTTTTATCAACTTCTAAAATTTATTGTAAAGTTCCTTAGCAATATTGTGTAATAATCCTTATAAGATTGAATTTAGTGTAGCTTTTAAATTTTCTTCTTGCTTATCATGCAATAGTAAATTTTACCG